GTTACCGCTCCGCACGTCCGCGCGTTTGTTTTTATTTATCAGACTCGCGCTCAGCAGACAGCTCAGTACGGCGTGAGACGAGGACCGCGAAGGACCGATACACGAGAGACAGACTGTGTTGTCAACAGTTGAAATATTTTTGTTTTTAATTTTTTTTCGCGATCGCGAGGGTGTGTTGTTGTGTCCGTCATATTGTTCCGCCCGGGAATAGAGTGTTGCCGGTGTCGCCCGGATAGCCGACAATGAATCTGTCGTTCGCCGGCTGTGGCTTCCTCGGCATCTACCATGTCGGCGTCGCCGTCTGCTTCAAGAAGTACGCGCCCCACCTGCTGCTCAACAAGATCTCGGGCGCCTCGGCCGGGGCCATCGCAGCCTGCGCGCTGCTGTGCGACCTGCCCCTGGGTCAGTATATGCCAGCAACGGCCAACGCTAATGCAACGCGAGGCATCAGCTGTTCCCTCGGCGCCAGGCCGTCTCTCTGAACGCCCCGAGGGAGGGGAGGGGGGGGGAGGGGTCAACAAAGACGTCATGCAGACGCCGTTATAATTGTTTACTTACTTTTGGGGTATGTAAAAGCGTCTGTCTCTGTGTGCAAATACTAGGAACCTATTGGGAAGGGAAAGGTTTCCTTTTGCCAGACTGGTATCGTCGTGGCTTGGTGGTATGGAGGGTGTGACCGATCTACCCCTAGGACTCTACCTACCCCTTGTCGAGCAGTTGGGTGTTTTCAAAGTGTCCTGCTTTGTTGATGGGGGCGGGCGCGGAACAGTTCATGGAACTTTCACTCTTTGGTATACCCGACACTGGAGAGAGATGACAGTTGTGCGGATGAGGACGTTGGACGCAGACGACTCCGCGGTATCTTTGGCAGGTGCAGCGACCTTGCCCCCGGCGACGGGTTTGGACGACCCCGCGGCGGCTGCGGCCGCAGGACGAACATAACCTCACTCCTCAATGACGCGGCCCAGCTGCTGCGCCGTCCTTGGCGGCGGAGGCGGCGGCTGCGGAGGCAGTAGCACTGCGTGCGTGCGTGCTGCAGCGGTGGGGGAGGAGGCGGGAGAGTTTTTGCTCGCCGGTGCATTCCTTCCTTCCCTCTCTCTCTCTCTTTCGCTTGCTTTTGCTGCTGCTCCTGTCTGCCAGGCCGTTATGAACAGCTGGCCGGGCACCACTCAGTGAAAGTCGAGTCATCCCGACTGTTCGTTAGACGCTTGCTGTACAGCCAATTTGTAAATCTCACACTTTACCCGATCATGGACATCATAGTTACAGTAGGAAGAATCACACGCTTGCGTTCCATGTCGATAACTGGAGACACTCCTTCCAAATACTACGGTAAATGGTAAATGCCTACGCAGAAGGCTTTAGATAACCCGCGAGTCCCTTTATTCCTGTTGACTCGGGTGAGGCGGGGCCCCCGACAGTCAACAAGTCCTCGCCTGACGTCAACGCTCTGCTCTCGGGCGTCAGACCGATCGCAAGGCCCTACGCTATTAGTTGAGGAAAAAACCAAAATGAGCTCATAAACCGATTGTCTCTTGGTGATAGAACGAAGCCGGGGTATGGGAGGGGGGTGAATGCCGTGCTATACCTGCGGCGCCGGTGCTTCGTCTAGCAGGACCTTGAGGAAGGCGGCCGCCGACCGGTCGGCTGCGGGTGTTATTCGACCATACTCCAGTATTCGACCTGCCGTTTGTTATATCAGGTTTATTTTCACGGGTTCCTGTTGCCCCCCCCCGGTGCGACGCGTGGCTCGCCGCGACGTCACGGCCCCTGCAGCTGCCGCTGCGACCAGCCGGCCAGCTGCGGCCGCCTCAAGGCCGTTGACGCACGTGGCAGAAACGGCACGGCACAAGAGGACGACGCAGGACGGAGGAGTTCCGACCGGTGCGGGGTTTATTTTCAAAGTGTGAATGAACCAAAAGACAATGACATGTGTCGCACTTCTTATTCCTTCTCTGTCAAGCTGCTAATTAGGAGTAATCACCAGCCGAGTCGAATCGGTTGTTTTCCATTCGTTTGAATGTTCCGCCGTTATTGCTCTCCTTTCACCCCGTTCCCTCTCTCTCACTCACCGTCCCGATCCCGACAATGTAGTTGGTACTGTACCGAGCTGTCACCCACGCTGACCCGCACGTGACAACACAATGTGATCTGCGGCTGATACGGTGTTAAAGGAGTGTTGCTCAGGGGCGGGAGGGAACCTCGGTGAGTTCGGCGCGTTCATTGATCCCATCTGATCCCATCCCATCGGCCGAGGAAAGAACCTTCTGACACCCCCAGGGGAGTCGCACACCCCATAGTCAAACAATCAGTTTGTGTTATAGGTAAAAGGCACAGCTTTCGCATTATCCATGGTGTGTCGTCTCCGGTCCAGACCCAGAAAGAAAAAAAATTACTGGAAACGCAAGTGTGTCAACGTCGCTCACTTATGTGAGCGAATACCCATTCATACACTTCAGGAAAACAAGGTGTGAATTTTCCTTTGAAAGTGTGCACACTTTGCACCTTTATTTGAACGAATCACGTTCATACTCCAACAAGTGTGCGACATTCACACATTTAGGGAAGTGCCGGGAGGGCAAGGACGGAAGTGTGTCGAGGGTTCAAGTACCGCGCCGCCGGCCCGCCCCCGGTTTGCGCGGGAAAAGGGGATGGACGACTATTCACAGTCGTTATTGTAATTCCCTTCATGGCGCACGAGAGAGTATTGCGTAGTTTAATAATGCCGCGATAACCCCTTATCTCGGCTGCACGCATTCCGACACAATTGATCCACATGGCCGGGCTGGGGCGTTCCCCGGCCGGACAGAAGGCGGCGCTTGATCAAAGCAAGTTCATGAAACATGTTGCCGCCGATTCCGATTTGTTTTTATTTTTGATGATACCGTTCATGTCGTGGCGTTGGCGGTCGACTCTCGCGATTGGTGGGGAGCGGGGCGGAGGAGGGGAATCGGGAGCAAGCCTCGCGACGCTCGTGCTGTGGAGTGTCAGGAATATGTAAAGTCCTGGATCCAGGACGTTGGAGAATTATTGAGTGGAGGATTGTGGCGGCAAAAAGTTGCAAATGTTTTCTCGACTGTCAAAATGATGCAAAAAATACGAGATTTAAACCAAGTGCACTGTGCGATTTTACTTACAATTTATGTTTTCTGTGGAGGTTGGCGGCGGTAGAAACTTCCTTTCTTCATCGCTCGCGGCTATCGAATCGAATACATATATATGCGCCGACTTATTTGTGTATCTATAGCTCGGTATCGAGTCGCTCAAGATGAACTCCGCGTCCTTGACACGAAAATGGCTTTGGCATGCACGCGTGCATCTCCCCCCCCATCAGCTGTTCCCTCGGCGCCAGGCCGTCTCTGAACGCCCCGAGGGAGGGGAGGGGGGGAGGGGTCAACAAAGACGCCATGCAGACGCCGTTAGGGGCCGTTCACAAATTACGTCACGCTGGTTAGGGGCGGGAGGGGGTCTGGGCCAAACGTGATGAACGCGTGACGAGGGGGAGGGGGGAGGGCAAGGAGAGCGTGACGTCACGCATTTTGTGAGGTGCGCAGGCCGTCGCAGACTTTTAAACTGGAGATGGTGGAGAAATGGGTGAAATTGCCTTATCAAGGCACTGTTTAGTCCAATATCATGTTTGGTATTAATATTAAAAATACACCATTTTGCTTGAAAAACTGAATTTTTCGCTTACACATACTTTT